AAGGTTGACGCGCGCTTGTAGCTTCTGACGTCGAAGAAGAATAGAGAAGGCTACTGGAGGTGCCTGTTTGACTGAAGATCCTTGACATTTTTTGTCTTTTTCTTGGATCCGGGCAATGCCCTATTTCCTTCTTGAAGGGGTGAGTTGTAGAGGTCTTATTTTCTCTTTCACTACTTCCCCTCTTGGCTTTGCTTTTGTGATGATTTACTTTGGATTTTTAATGGTTCAATAGAAGAGAAAGAGAAGGGAGGTTGATGATTAGAATGAGTGATTTTAGAGAGAAAAAATAGGTTAAGAATTGGTGATGGAAAAAAAAAATTGGGTCTGAGATTTTGATATGGTGAATTGGAGAGAAACAACAATCATTTTTTTTCCTTTTTTTTTGAGAAGATAGGATGATCTGAGAGATTTTGTGAGAAGTTGGGATTTTTTTTTGAAGAACCATGAAGATGACATGAGAGAAGTTCCTCCTTTGATAGTTTTTTTTGTGTGATTTCAACAGAGTTTTTTTTCTTTTTTTTCATTTGAATGAAGAAGTTGATTTAAGGATAAAGAAGGAAAAGAAAATAGAGGTGAATAGGGTGAAGCCGCCGTCGCCGGAATTACCGGCGGCGGCGGTGGGAGCAAAGAACTTTTTTTTAGGTCACCAAGAGCGGTGACTCTGATACCATGTTGAAATATTAGAATAATAATATTGCTCCTTGAATTATGGAGTACATGATAGAGTATATATAGGAGAGACTCCTAACACAACTAGGAATAGAGAATGGAAACTAACTAACATACAACATCTAGCTACCACAAATAGGAGTATGAAACTGACTAATAATCAAACACTACCATAACCAATACTACTAGAAGTACTATTAGTATTATTGTCTAACATTTTTAAATAAAAATTAAAAATGTTAGATAGGAAATTAAAGTACTCCCCATGTTGTTACTTTATTACCGAACTATAAAGAACAATTACCCTCAAATATGAAATCAAGCAGAAGTATTCCATATCAGATAAGTGAGAAAAATAATAATGTATGGGTATACATGAGATGAATTAAGTTGTCATTTGAATTCAATCTTTTAATGTAGTTCAACTCAAGTGTCTTATAGTCTAGTCAAATGATCTTTTTCATTTTTTAAACTAGTTCCTCTTTCACATTTTTCGTTTTCTTCAAAATTTTTGCAAAAAATGACTAATACTCCGTATATCTAAATAAATTCATTATATTGTGGAGTAATATACTCTGTACAGTACTGTAAAAGCCTTAATATATTTGAGGCTCTAAATTCTTGTACAATACAATAATATCACTTAAGTGTTCTAGAGGTAGAAAAATGACAAAATATGAAAATAAATTGTAGAAAACAAAATAAGTGAGCTATCATCTATCAAAGACTTACCTTGCTAGTAGATCGATCTAAACTCGCAAGTAGACAAAAAAACAAATGTTTCATGCACAAATTAAAGAAGAGATCAATTGGAAAAAAACAAAGCATTTCTAGATCTACTTAGTCATTCTATGGAGTTAAGGCTCACACCTAAAAGAGAAGGGGTACCCTATAAATAGTTGAATACACCAAAACCACTCTTCACAATCCCCTCTCAATCATATTATAATTAATAATCTCCCAAGTAATCAACCTAGCTAGCCACACCAATGGCGGAAACCCATCATTTCCTTTCCACTTTTCTCTTGGTTCTCATCACCATGGCACTATCCTCCTTGGCCGGCCCCACAATGGCGGCCGGCCGCCGCATCCCCGGCGACAAGAAGCAGCCGGAGTTTCTCCCCGGCTACGACGGAACCGTCTTGATTCCCGGCGTGGGCCGTGTCGTCGTCCCCCCCAAGGGTAAGAAAATAGACCCCTTTAACTACAACCCCATCACGGGGAAAAGCGGGTCCGGAACCGGAATCATTGGCCCCTTTGATGGCTTTATAGGCGCCGGGTCGGGCAATGTTCTTGGCGGGTACAATAATGCCCCTGTTTTCTCTGGCCCTGTAGGGACCGGGGTCCCGAACCCTGAGGATTGCGCCGGAGGCAGTCTCCCACCGCCGTCTCGTCGTTGAGCATAAAATGAGGATTATTGTTTGTACGCATTGAATAAATAAGGGATTAGCATTATTCATGTTAATTGTGAGAATTATTATTGTGTTTTTTTCAGTTAAATTAGTGTCGATTTAATTTGGTAGAGATTGTGTTATTGTCATGCATGGTGTATTCAACTTGTTGCATTGTATTTAGACGTGCTTTGATGCCGTCTTTCATGTGAGGTCAAATCAACATTATGTAACATGCCGTCCTAAGTTGTATCATTCTCAATAAATTAAATGAGTCTTTTAGTTGTGTCAATTTTGGTGGAGTTTGGATCTTATTTTAAAAGAGCAAATCACATCTACACTATGTTTGGTTTAAAATATTTGACAGGAAAAAGAAAAGAAAATGAAAAAGAAAACATTTTTTATGTTTTGTTAGAGATGAAAAGAAATTAAGAGTGAAAGAAAAAGAAAATGAAACCAATTTTAGATATCATTTTAAAAGACATTTTGCAAATGACATTTAAAGAGTGGGAAACAATATTTGCACTCCAATTTTAAATATTAGCACTCTAGTTTACACTATTCATTCTCAAACATAAGTCTTTAATTCTGTCAATTTTGAATTTTGGTGAAGCTTGGATGTATATCATATTCAAAATATTTTGCAAATCACATTTAAAGAACCTGAAATAATATTTGTACTCAAACTTTTAAATTGACACTTTAAATTGTCAGAATTCTCTCTTCTCCAACGACGTCAGCAGCCACCGGCGCACGTCAGACTTCTCTCTTCTCCAACGACGTCAGCAGCCACCGGCGCACGTCAAATTTCTCTCCTTTCAAAGTTTCCAGTTTCGAGCTAGTGTCCAAGCTTCCTCTTGCTTCAGCCAGAGTTCAGCTTGAGGGGGGATGTTAGACAATAATAATAGTATTACTTGTGGTAGTATTGGTTGTGGTAGTGTTTCATTATTAGTCAGCTTCCTAATC